CATCCGCTTTCATCACTGACCCCCAGGGCTATCAGGGCACAAGGTCAGCCCACTTAAACTCCAAACTCGGCCAGAAATAGAGCTGGGAAGTGGGCATGGGTGGCCAACTGCAGGGGTCTCCAATCATTTGAGGGGTTCTTTGACTGAGCCATTTCATTTCATCAAAGACACATTTTTTTCTGGAAGGAAAATGGAGAGCAGTGGGTGTGAAGGGAGTAAGGGGGAGGCAGGGTGTTCACCATGAATTATGACCACTCTCAACAAGAGTCTTTTACATTGCGGAGGTGAGGAGAGGATGGAGTAATTGGGCATGTTAGACCTATGCATAAAGAGGGCAAGTCTCTGCCTGTTTCTCACCCTTCACTCTGCCAGTGCTCATGAGATGTGGTCCCCCACATGCCCTGTTGCCATTCCATTGTGGAGCTCAACACCCCAAGGGCTCATCCCAAGGACCACAAGGTCTGATAGCACCCTGCCAGACCAGTGACCCCGGGCTGTGCAATAGTGTGTGGTCATGCCTCTGGTATGGAAAGGCTGAAAGTTGCCTTACGAATAAAAACCCATCAACCAAGCCAGGGCTCATGCTTTCCACCCGCAAGGTCTCAGAAAACCTATTAGGCTTTAAGTTGCTGTTTTTTTCAGGTTGCAAATACTGCCTTTGCAAGTAATGCTTTCATAGAGGTAACAGTTGTACCTTCTGGGGGGTCAGCACTGAGCAGTGTTTAGCAGTGGGTAAGAACAGATGCTCCTGAGATCTATCTCTTTGGCTAGGAGGAGAAATCTGTGGGGTACTGAAACGTGTTTGGTGCATGTGGAAATGCCACAGAGCATTGTCCATTTCACCCAACTTCCCTCTGGGTAAATCTCTGAGAATCCTAAATGCAAGAAATTTCAGAGGAAGGAAAATTAAAATACCCAGAGAAAGCAGTCTCCTATTCCACCTCATTAAGGCCGTCTCCCACCTGCACCACAGAGAGGCCACTGCAGGTGTTTGGAGCACCCAGCAGAAGTGGGGCAGGGACAAGGCAAGTAGGCTGTGGAGTGGTGGGCAGGGAATAAAATCCTCACACTTACTCACTGAAAGTTGCCCCCGAAATGGACAACATGGCTCAAGGGACAGCAATCAAGGAGGATGTTAGCTCAGAGTTAGTTGTGTTGACACTGAAAACAGTAGCAGAAAAGCAGCCAGAAACATGAGATTCAGCACTGCCCCAGTACACAGAATGCATCTGAGTGCCAAGAAGCTAGCCAGTCATGCAACGTGTGATCTGCTTGCAGACTCCTTATTACACATGATGAAAGACAAGCAGAAGGGAGTTTTAACTCTCAGAGTCAAACTTTTCATGGATTGTGTATTTGGGGGTGGAAAAATGTCTGTACGTGGAAACTGAGCGCTTTTGATCCAAGCTTTGTTGGTAAACTGTAAGGAGTGAGCCCAGTTTCCAGGAAAAAGCTGCATTTCACATTTTTTATGCAATTACTCAGACCTATTCTTGAAAATTAACAGGTTCCTGGGATTTTTTTTTTACAGGTTGGCTAGCCTTATTTTTTTGGATGTTAGGTAATCATTTTCATCAGTAGTTCATTACTTATTCCCTTTGGAGGAGGCAGTCAGCTGGATTTCTAATACTGAGACAGACATGGCTGTAGGGCACATGCGGAGTCATTCTCCATCTCACACAAAGAGAATCCAATCGATCTTGGACACATTGGGGCAGCTGTGCACAAAAGGCAGGGTCAGTCAGCACACACATACAAAGGCCAATGTTCAGGGACATACTGAAGGACATGCACAACGTGCACACATCACTGGAAGAGCACAAAAGTAAGGCACATCAGACCTACAGGTTTTGGCCTTGTCAGTGTCAACAAGTCTGGTTTTTCACCTCAGGCTAGTATTGTGTATTGTCTTTCTTTCTAATGGCAGGAGCTGCCAGCAAAGGAGGCATTCACTGCTCGTTCTTCTCCCTTGCAGCTCTGGGAGCAGAAATGGACAGCAGGAGAAATGAGGTTCACAGCTTCTTTTAACCAGACTGTTGTCCAGCCATGCACAAGGCCCTGAACAATGCCCTTGGGCACAAGTAAATGATTTACGTTATGCAGGTGTTCTTCTAGATGTGGGGAAAAACTCTTTTTACTCTATTTCTCCTTGCAATAAAATAGGAGAAATATCCCAACTTCGCAAACCCTGAATCCAGGCCCCTTCCCGCAGCAGCAGTTCCGGGAAGTGCCCACACGGTGGCGATGCCCCCTCAGAAATGGAACGCAGCTGGTGCCCAGGGGAGCGACCCTGCAAAGTCCACAGGAGACAGCGCAGGGACAGCGCGGGACAGGCGGACCCCGCCGCACCGAACAGCAGGCTCGAGTTGTGCTTCTGCCGACGATCTGCCGTGTGGCGTTTGCTTAATGAGCTCTCGTCTGTATTAGCTGTCAGCTCTGGGGAGGGTTCTGCAGGGTGACCTCTGCTTGTGTTGCAGGGTCTCTCTCAGGACCACAGCATGGCAGACTGACCAATTATATTTTCACTGTATTTAGGGATGGATATTCCAATACCTCTATGGGCTGATATAAGAGTGTTTACCCACCCTCACAGTGATTCCCCCCCCCCTTTTATTGTACTGTAATTCCATTTTACAACTTGCAACCCCCTCCTCTTGTGTTTTGCTATGCAAAAGCTCTGGGAAGAGGTTGGCTCTGTCTTCTCTGTATCATCCTCAGCCACAGTCAAGCACTGTTGCACTGCTGAGTCCGAGTGAGCTCCTCATGCAGAGATCAGGGCCTGGCCCATCAATTCTAGAGCTTCACTGATGTAAAACTCCTGTCAGTGGCCAGGGTCAGGATGTCAGTCTCTTCTCTTTACAGAGCTCCCACCTGAAGGACTGCATTTCTCATTCAGCTTCTCTTCATAAATAAATCACTTCTTAGACACAGGACTTCAAAATGATTATTCGCAACACGCTCTTGCCCTTGTACTCCAGCATTGTGGGTGGCTTCAGCTAGTTTTTTGATGTATGCAGAAAAGAGGCTCATGGGGCTGCACACAGCAAACACTAACCACCCTCTCAGACAGCAAGAGAGGTCATCATCGTCGGCCAGTCTTTGTTCCTAGTCATGGAGGTGTTTCCAGTTCAAAAAGTTCAGTGTTGGGGGGGGTTGATCTGTAACAGTGAATTGGGTTTGACAGCCCGGTAATTGCTCAGAAGTCAGCAGTGGCTGGAAGAGATGACACATAATGCAACAAGGCAACCACATGCTTCTGGGAAATCAAAGCATTCTTCCAGTTATGGTGATGTCTTGATGGAGGAAGAAAAACTACTACCCCCACACACAACCCAGAGGAGAAAAATGTGGGATACAGCCACCCACATGGAGCGCAGTGGTTTTCATACGGCTGTGCTGACTGGCTCCCACATCACTGCTTCCACAGGTCATTGTGGGCCTGTGAGCAGTAGAGGTGACTGTGTCAACCAGTTTCATGGAATCACAGAATAAATTAGGTTGGAAAAGACCCCTGAGATCATCAAGTCCAATCTATGAGTCAACACCACCATGGCACTTAGTGCCATTTCCAGTCTTTCTTTGAACACCTCCAGGGATGGTGACTCCACCACCTCCCTTAACAGTCCAGTCCATTCCGAAGTCTAATCACCTTTTCTGTGAAGAAATTCCTCCTAATGTCCAACCTAAATCTCCCCTGGCACAGCTTGAGGCTATGCCCTCTTGTCCTATCGCTGGTTGCCTGGGAGAAGAGGCTGAGCCCCACCTGGTTACAGCCTTCTGTCAGGTAGTTATAGAGAGTGATGAGGTCTCCCCTGAGCCTCCTTTTCTCCAGACTAAACAACCCCACCTCCCTCAGCTGCTCCTCATAAGACTTATGCTCCAGACTTTTCACCAGCTTTGTTGCCCTTCTCTGGACATACTACAGCACTTCAACATCTTTCTTGAATTGAGGAGCCCAGGACTGGACACAAGATTCAAGGTGTGGCCTCACCAATGCCAGTACAGGGGAAGAATCACTTCCCTGGTCCTGCTGACCACACTCTTTCCGATACAGGCCAGGATGCCACTGGCCTTCTTGGCCACCTGGGCACACTGTTGCCTCATGTTCAGGCAGCTGTCGACCAGCACCCCCAGGTCCTTTTCCGCTGGAAAGCTTTCCAACCACTCTGCCCCTAGCCTGTAGCACTGCAGGGGGTTGTTGGGAGCCAAAGTGTAGGACCTGGCACTTGGTCTTGTTGAACCTCAAAGCTCTTTGTGTCCCTGCTGTCACCTGAATCATCAGTCCAGGACATGTTCACATTCACAAACGTCTTTCTGACCCAGCCAGCACCAGGTGTTTGTGTGGGGTACATCACCTTCCAGAGGTAAAAGCTCTCTTGTTTTGGCAAGTGGCAAGTGCAAGACAGCGTGTTTTCCTCGAGATGGGCACACTTTGGATGCCCCTCCTGGTGCTGGCACCTAAAGTGACATCGTGGTGATGCCACAATCCACTGATAACTAATAACACCTTCCCATAAGTGCTGTGCCACAAAAACTGTTCAACTCCGCAGTTCCCATCCCTTTCTGCTACTGCTGCCGCAGCCGGGGCAGCTCCCGCTCGGCTCCGAACTGAACCCGAGGGCAACGCTGAAGGGAGGGAGGGAGAAAGGAATGGAGGAAGGGAGAAAGAGGGGAAGGAAGGAAGGGAGGGAGGGGGAGAGAGAGAGGGAGGAAGGGGGAGGAGAGGAGGACGGAAGAAAGAAAGAAAAGAAAAAAGGGAGGGAGGGGGAAAGAAAGGAAAGAAGGGAAGGGAGAAAGAGAGAAGGGAGGGAGGAAGGAAGGAAGGGAGGGAGGACGGGGCGCCGCTCCCAAGATGGCGGCGGCGCGCGCGGCGGTGCCCATCCCCATGGCAACAGGGTGAGCGCGCGCGCAGAGGGCGGGGCTCCGTCGCGCGGTTCGCGCGGCCCCGGCGGTGACGTGTCGGGGGTCTGACGGCGCCGCGCCGCGCGCTTCCGGTGACTCTGGCCCCTCAGCGACGCCCCCCGCGGGTGCCCCGGGACGGTCCCTGTGGGGCGAGCGGGGGTCCTGCGACCCCCCTTTCCCCGGCCGGGCCAGTGCCCCGGGCCCCTCCCCTGCCCCGGGTCCGTGCGCTGCGGCCGCCGGGAAGGATGCGGCACGGAGGGCTGCCGGTGAAGCCCTGGCCCCTTGGGGTCGGATGTGGTGCAATTAGGAGGCCACAAGCAAAGGCTGTCTGCTTATTGCTGCCCGAATATAAATGGGAAACGAAACGGTGTTTGTGCACGGGAAAAATAATGTGGCTTTTCTGTGAAAAGCTTAGCGCGGCCTCCCGTTACAGGAGGTGAACGTCAAAAAGTGACATGACTGACTGCGAAGTCAGGAACCACATGGAGATGTGTGATGGATGTAGGGGATAGAACTGTAAATGTCTTTAGCAGCCGTGGTGCAGGTCGAACGTGGGAAGAAGCAGCTTCCAGAAAGGACCACCTTTTGTTCTGTGCTTTGGAAATACTGCATGTGTGTCAGGGTTTTTTTAAACATGCGGGGTTTGAAACATGCAGCATTTAAACTCGAGGACTTTCTCCTGTCTTATGCAGAGCAGAGAACCAGAGACATTTGACATGTTTGTCATCTTTGATATAAGAGCAGAGACCACAATGTGGCATTCAGAAAACAAAACCAAAGAGAAGGAGGTCGGTAAGGGTGACAGGTTGGTTCTCTGCAGTTTTCTATTGAGAGCACTCATTTATTGGGGTTTATTCTGTTCTTTCTTCCCAGGGAGTTTGAAATAAGCAGCATCAGACAAACAGGTTCCACTTAACCAAAACAATGTTTGCAGATTTGGACTATGATATTGAGGAAGATAAGCTGTGAGTATTTCACTTGTCTTTTCATGTTTTTTCTAACAATAGAAATAGTCTTTGCAGCCAAGAACCTAACAAGAGGTGATGAATCTACCTGCTCCTGTCACTGTGTGCTGCACATCATACTTGCTGTTCAGTCCCGATTTCTTGCTCTGTGTGGAGATTGGGGATGAGGCATCGCTGTGCTGGTGAGCAAAGGAGAAAGGTTGTGTTGCTCTGCAATGGCTGCCTTGCATTTCTGATTGCAAAGCAGTGCTGACAGGTCTTCTGTAAATTACTGGCCTTAGCCAGATTGAAAAACACTTACAATAGAGGAAAGATAACAAGAGGCAAGAATAAGTGGAAACTCCAGAGTCCTTTGGTCTATAAGGAGGAGAACACTGTCATTTCCTAAGTAAGTAAAGGGTTTGATGAGATTAGCAATTAATTTAGCATCGAGCACTTGATTTGCATCTCTTTTATGCTGTGCAAGTTTTCATCTCACTCCAGCACTAAATGATAGTGTTTCCTCAGTGCCTAGCAATAGATGAGGGTGTCTCTCCCACATGTAATCCTTACATGAGGTCCCAAAAAAGATAGCCCAGAAGGTGCTCCTGCTGGTCAGTGCTGATAGACTCTGTGGCAGAGATGAAGAGATGAATTCAAATGCGCAGTGCCCGTTATGTTTTTGGTTTGTATCAACTCAGATACAGGAGTTGTTTCATACACAGGCAGCCCTGCCTATGTGTTCATTTATTCCTTTTTTCTTCTAGGGGCATCCCCACTGTACCTGGGACAGTGACCCTGAAGAAGGACTCTCAGAACCTGATTGGGATCAGCATTGGGGGAGGAGCACAGTACTGCCCCTGTCTCTACATTGTCCAGGTGGGCACTCGGGGAGGAGGAATAAACCGTCTTTGTTGGCCTGAGAGATGGGAAGCATGGAGAAACCTATGCTGTATGTTTTTATCAAAGTGGGAGATGACATCTCACTTTACAGTGAATAAGATTTCCTTATCCTAGTACCTAATAGTACCTAATAGGTGTGGAAGAATTAAATTAAGACTTCTGGAGTTATCCTGCTCTTTGGAGAGCACGTTAGAATTCACAGAGGAACAGCGTGACATTCTCAACATAGGAAATCATACACTTGAGGAGGTATAAGCTGGAGGCGAGAACTTCCTGAGAGAACAAGATGATCAGCCCACCTCTTAGCTTGGGAAGGGGGAAAACTGTGGCTTCACCATGAACAAAGTACAACTAAGTTAAATAGGAGGAATGTAATTGTTCAGGCTTCGTTCTTTATCCCTGCATTCACCTTTCTCTTGCTTCCAGACTCTATTTTCATCCTCTTTCTCCTCTCTGCTAGGTGTTTGATAACACTCCAGCAGCCTTAGATGGCACCGTAGCAGCTGGCGATGAAATCACAGGAGTGAATGGGAAGTCTGTCAAAGGGAAGACCAAGGTGGAGGTGGCCAAGATGATACAGATGGTAAAGGTGAGAGGTAGGAGGGGGCCACTGGAGCTTCTGGGTTGTAGTTGACAGTTTATTGTCCTTGGATTAAGGAAGCCACTGCTACTTGCTTCCAGCACAGCAGTTTTGGATTTGCTCTTTCTACAGGGAGAAGTGACTATACACTACAACAAGCTTCAGGCTGACCCAAAGCAGGGCAAGTCTTTGGATATTGGTAAGACTGGTTCCTCTCACTCTACAGTGTTAAAATGATGGGGAGGGATGAAAAATTGGTCCCAGCTAAAACAAAAGTTTTCGTGTGTCCTTTCTTGCTCTTGACTCAGTTGTTTTCAAATGGATACTGTCAAAGAGAATTACAGGCTTAAAAAAATCCATTCCTAACTTCTTGAGATAGTCTTGAAAGTTAAGTAGAGGCTTGACTGTTGTTGTGGGAGGCTTGTTTTTCTGTGCTGTGTTTAGCATGGATGATGAATCTCAACTGCATAGTTTGATTAATTTATTTTTAATACATGTGAGCTATGCTGATTTATGGAGATTTTTAACTGTACACAGCAATGTGTCAATCAAAAAACACTGGTGGCAATTTCTCAGCTTGGAGAACAGTGATGAAATACCTGTCTACACTGGGTTTTGTACAAACACAGATTTTGTGGGAGAGGGGGGAGCCTTTATTGATAAAACAAACTGTTTGTTTTGAACTAAGCCTACACAGCTGTCTCTCACTTTTCAAAAAAATCCATCTCTTTTGTTTGTTCTCATTTCTTTTCATGGTGATTATGGTGCTAATGAATTGACAGGGATTCAGGAAAATCCTGAGTAGTGAGATGGACTTCTGAGGAAACAGAAGTGTGGCGAGAATATGGAATTTTCCAGAGATGCTGAACACTGTGGCTTAAGTTGAGTTCTTGGGATCTGCAGGCACCGCAAGTTTGCCTCTAAATAAATGTGGCTGAGTCATCTGATGCCAAAGAGGGCATAACTGTCCCTAGTAATTTGCAGGGTATGATTTGCACCATTACATCAAGAGGTGATGAAAAGGTTTAACTAGGATTCAAAAGATAAAAGTAAGGAAAGGGGCAACACTGAGCATGAAATCTTGTTTATCTTGCTTTTAGCCTCGTCTCCTCATTTCAGTTTGAGTAATACAGTGGGTAGCACAAGCAAAGTTTAGTTCCAAATATCACGTTAGGTTGGTGTTAGCAAAGTGATTGATTGGAATAGTCTTCCAAAAGAATTGCTGCAGCTCTACTGATTGAGGTACACAGGATGTGAGAACAGAACAAATAGGCAGGTTAGAAGATGTGTCATGCATGGCTGGACCAGAACGTCCTGTTTCTATGGTATTCTCTTTCTGCTTGCCACCTCAATACTGGGTTAAGTGCAGTTTTATCCAGTGCCTGGGAAACCAGTGAAGTGTGCTAGTGAGCTTTTCATGCCTGTAGAAATGACCCTGATCCTGGTTTGCAACTCTTTTTTGGCCTTTAGTATTGAAGAAGGTAAAGCATCGACTGGTGGAGAACATGAGCTCAGGCACAGCGGATGCCCTGGGGTTAAGCCGAGCCATACTTTGCAATGGTAAGTGTTGTCTAGGAGGACATTTCCTTAAGGGAAAGCTTACCCTCAGATGTTTACCTACTTTCTATTGTAACTTGCATGGTCCACATTATTCCTTATAACTCTTGCATTCTGCTCTGTCTCACTGTTGTGATTGCCTCTGCCCTTCCTGAGTGATATAACCTGTCACTGGGGCAATTTAAATGTTAGCTGAGGTCAAATTAATTTAAAGCAGGGACCCATTAGTGAATGCCAATAGGTGATGACCCCACACTATAAAATAAAATTGCAGATATTTTAAAAGCTTCCCCTGCTGTTGTACTACAGGACAGGCATTAAGGGGTGAGGGAAATTTGAAGCAAATATGTTAAACTGGTGTTTTTCCACTCAATTGGGTCTTAACTGTGTCCTGAATTGGATTGCTGTAATTCTGTATTCTGTTTCTATTCAGATGGGCTAGTGAAGAGATTAGAGGAGCTGGAGAGGACTGCAGAGTTATACAAAGGTAAATTGCATCTTCTGTCAGACACCAGATGGGAGAAAAGGATGCCTCCGTTATGTTTCAGTGAAGTGACTTAAATGTTTTTTCTGGTTTCCTTCACAGGCTTGACAGAGCACACCAAGAGTCTTCTCAGGGCTTTCTTTGAGCTGTCTCAGACACATAGAGGTAAAGAATCTTGTGCGAAGGGAGCACAAATCTCCGACCTCCAGTTTCGGGAGTTTTAGTCAGTACTTAGATGCATGATTCCCACACTCAGAAAAAACAAAGAGTTGCAGAAATGAGCTGGGAAGGGCCACTCGCCTGCATTAGCAGTCATGGTGCTAACACAGGCCCTGTCTTTCACATGAGACATTGAAAAAGTGCCCTGCCAACCTCTGGTCTTTAGGGAATATGTAGCATCATTCCCCAGCTAATTGTAAGGTTATGGGAGGGAGTTGTAGTATTGGAGGCAAGATTTTTCTCCAGAGCTGACCTCTTCTTTTATCTGTCTGTATTTGTTCTGCTCATCCAGCATTTGGAGATGTTTTCTCTGTCATTGGTGTAAGGGAGCCACAACCAGCTGCCAGTGAAGCCTTTGTGAAATTTGCTGATGCCCATCGCAACATTGAGAAGTTTGGGATTCACCTTCTGAAAACAATTAAGCCGGTAAAGAATTTAACCATGGGAGTAAAGGGTCAGGAGAAGAGGGGAATCTAGAAAGGCAGAAGCCTGTCTTTGAAGGTGTGATCTGAAAGCTTATTCATTGTGGGAAGAACAGTCCTTGTCTGCTTTCCTTCAGGGAACTCTTTATAATGAAAAGAGTGTGAGAGGTAACATAGTGAGCGTATCAATCTTGTCCCTGTGACTTTTGCATATGAATATATTCCTCTCCATTTGGGAATGAGGGGGTAGTTTGATCAGTAGTGATATTGGTACCCATAATTTAAAGATGTCACTCAAAGAGTTTAGATAAGCTATCCAGGAACAAGTTAAGGATTTCAGTCAATATATTTGAGAGTCTCCAGGGGATCTATCCACTTAGTTTAGCAAAGAGGGTGTTGATTTGGGCACCACTTTCAGTTCCATGTTGGGTGGACAGTGTTGGGTAGTGAGACTTTGAGTCCAGCAGAGCTGTTTTCAGGACCAGCTGAAAATGAAACAAGACAAGTCAAAAGCAGATTAATTCAGACTAGAAGTGAGTAATGCATTTCTAACGCTTGAACCAGTGACAGTTATGGAAGCTGTAATCATGGCAATTCTGAGTCACGATCAAACATTTTCTTTCAAATATGCTGTAGTTCAAAAAAGAGTTAATTTGAGGCAGTCTCATGACCTGCTCTGTGTAGAAGGTTACTTGATGAATTATAGTCATACTTTTATATTCAGCAACAGGGTGTTTCCCTTGCAGATGCTTACTGACTTGAATACGTATCTGAATAAAGCCATTCCTGACACAAGGCTGACTATCAAAAAATACCTGGATGTCAAGTTTGAATATCTGGTGAGCTGCTTGCTTTTGGATTTTCTTAAGTACTGGTTGAAATTAAGTTTCATAGAATCATCCTGAAAGTCACATATAGCCTGTATAATCACATATCCGTCCTTCCACAGTCCATGAGAGAATGCATTATTTTTTCCAGTTCTTTGTTTACTGCCAGATTACTCAGATTCAGACACTTGCTTTTAACCTAATACTTCTCACTGGTAAGAAAGATCTCCCAGAACTCAGATGATTTATTTTCTAAATGAAATAATTTCCTGATTTATTTGTAAAGAGTTCGTATGCAACTTATGCTCTTGAACTCCTCTAAATAGATCTACAGTCCATAGTTTTCTGGTAATTTTGGATAGTCTTCTTTAGCCAAAGTAGATGACTGTCAAGCCGTATTTGCTTTCATTTAGACCATGCCATTTTTTCCTTTCTTCATTCCACTCCCGCTTTGTTTTTTACACCCAAAAAGGGTAAGGTTGCTAAGTGCACCTGTTTTATAACTTTAAGAATTTATTTCCTTTTACTTGTTGAGAGAAATATTTGGAGCTGCGACCCTAAGGCAAGAGAATATGGCAGCATCTCTTCCTACCTCAGTCCTTCCTGCAATTAATCTTTTTTTCCCCTCTTTATTTATTCCTGTTTCATACTTTTGTTGTACTGTGTTTTCCCAGATAGCAGATGAACACAGGATTTTTCTTTTACTAGATTATACTTACATAAAGTATTTGCCTCTGTAATAAAAATACTAAGCACCTTCTCTCTCCCCCACTGTTCTCTCTCCCCATCTTTCTCTAAATAGATTTTCTTTCCACCTTGGATGTTTAATATACTCTGATCCCACTGTGCTTTCCTCAGTGGCTCTAGCATTGAATGATACTCTTGAAATGATACAACCCTATGGGTATGGGTGATGATGAAATTGCCTCTGATTTTTAATATTTCCTTCTTGTTTTGCTTTTTTTTTGAATTATTTTAAATTCTGCAAAGTCTTACTGCCTGAAAGTCAAAGAGATGGATGATGAAGAGTACAGCTGCATTGTGAGTACCACTAAAATTGCAAAAGCACTCCTGTGCCTGTCAGCACCCAAACTAGTTAATGCATCCTAAGAGTTACACACATTTGTTCATAATATACTAGAAACTGGGGATCCTTAAATGCTACCTGGGAAGCACTGCCAAAAACTGCCATGAGTCACTAGTGCTGTGGAATAGTAGAAGGAACAGACATCTCTGTAGCTTGTTCTCTCAGTGGCTGCCTCTCTGAGTGTTTAAGTACGATTAGGTTATGTAAGGAGGATTAAGGTGTTATCTTCACAGATTCCATTTGTGTGTAGTGTGCAGCTTATCATTAATTCTGGGCTTGTTTCTGAGAAATGGAGGTTTAGCTTCTCTGCAGCAAAACTCATGTGAAACTGCATTTGTAAGTGAGGAAAATTGATTAAAGGATCTCTCTCTTAACAATAGGGTTTTTATAGCTTAGGGTTTTATGACTTTAATCCTTGACAGCTCTGTTTAAGATACCTACAGGTGTCCCATACATCCCAGTTTCCCTGCATAAAAGTAAGATCTTTTTTTATCCTAGGTATGGATCTCAGAGCAGGCATTAGGTTTTTTTGGAATGCTTGGTTACAAAGTGCCAGGAAGGAATAAAACTTTCCTAACACAATCTTTCATTGTATCTTTCCTTCTAAGTAGGAAGGAAAGAATGTCAGCCTTGCCCAGCAGAGTAACATTTCTGGGTTTTGGCAGATGCAGTGTGCATTAGCGAACCATAGTGCGTAACATGGGTTTTTACATATGTTATATTTACAGGTGCAGGGGCAGAATGCTGTTCTGCTGACAGACCCTTTTTCTCAAGAGGGTTTTGTGGGACAACATATAGGTCCCATCCTATATGGTTTCCAGCATTGTGTCTGGATGGTTGTAGATACCACGGGGTTTCCTGTGCAGTCCACAGAGGGCAAAGCTTGCAGAGGAGGGCACAATTTTTTGTGTGATTGATATAAACGTGTTTGTTCATAATGCCTGTCTTAATAGTCCAGATAAGCCGTGCCACTTCTCCATGCTGGGTTGAAAGGTACCTGTCGTTGCTTAGTAGTGGTGCTTTTCTTTACTGTGGTTGATGTGTATTTGGCCTTCAGAATGACCTAATTGAGTGCCAGTCATGGATGTGGCTCAGTGTTCCTCATGTTTCCTGCTTCCTGACTGCAGTTCCCATGAGCCTGAGAGTTCTGTAATAACCCAAGGTCATTGTGAGTTCACACTTGTAGGCAGACTGTGTATAAGCACTGTTGTGGGAGTCTCTAAAATGGTGCTGTGTTTTTGGCAGGCTCTGGGTGAACCCCTCTACCGGGTCAGCACTGGGAACTACGAGTACCGCCTTATCCTGCGCTGCCGTCAGGAGGCTCGCACGCGCTTTGCCAAGATGAGGAAGGACGTGCTGGAGAAAATAGAGCTCCTGGACCAGAAACACGGTGAGTCTGGAACCTGAAGGGGTCAGGCAGACACAGCTTTGGCCTTCATGCTCCTCCTTCCTCTCGGCTCAGAAGTCTTTGCTGAAGAACCGTTTTGTGGCTGTGCCCAGACATCCACCCTCGGGGGCCAAAAGGGATTAGTGCGTAGGAGACTGTATCTAATGCTGGCAAGGGAGGCTTGATCACAGCCTTCACACTGTTTGGGAAGAGGGTTTTCACATGATTTTTTTTTTCCTGACATGTCTCCACTACAGTGCAGGACATCGTGTTCCAGCTCCAGCGTTTCGTCTCCACGATGTCCAAGTACTACGACGACTGCTATGCCGTGCTCCGAGACGCAGATGTCTTTCCCATTGAGGTGGACCTTGCCCGCACAACTCTCAACTATGGGCAAAAGGACACATACACAGACGGGGCAGAAGAAGAAGGAGAAAGTGAGAGAGAGGGTAGCGGGAAGGAGGATGCAAATGGAGAAAAGCTCATTGATGATGCCTGAGTGTGCCGGCATGGCCAGAGGAAAGACTTTGCAGACTGTTATGAAAACATGTATTTCACGTGGCGATTCATCCTCTGTGATTTCAATGTATGTCCAGCCTGGGATTCCTCCTCTGCTTTGGGTGAGGGTAGCTGGTTGGATTGGAACCAACCTCTGCTTTCCTCACATTTCCTTTGCTTGTTTGCCTGGATATTCTTTTTTGCCTCCAGAGACTTCTACTACCCAACTTGGGTAGCGAGGTGTGGGGAGGAAAACTCCCTACCACACTGCCATGTGACTCTGGGCAGACAGGACTCTGCTGAGCACGTGGGAAACACCCTCCCCTCTGGCACATGGAAGCCAGCTAATGATTTGGAGCTCTGTCCTCCCCTTGTGCTCTGGGAAGTGTTAGCATCAGCATTGTTTTATTCACCCCACCACTCGCTGTCTCCAAGCTCCTTCTACGGAGCCACCTTAGAACTGTGATGGAAATATCCCATCCTTAAACTACAGAGGAGAGATGGGAAGCCTTGAGGAGAGAGGAAGACGTGCACTTTAGGCAGAGGCTTTGAGATTTTTTTAGTGCAAAGCATTACTAGTGTGCCACCCCAAGCTCTCCTCTCTGCACAACCATTTTGTGCTGCCTTTGGACTAGCCATCAACAGTAGCTAACATCCCATTCCCCAGCACAAGGGAAGAAGGAAAAGGAAACCTGAGGTAGGTGAGGCTGCTTGTTTCCTTTTCCCCTCCCTCCATCCCTGTGGGCATACCCCAGATGCAGATGGCACTTTCTCTGTTAGTGGGCAGCACAACTGCCAGGAGTGGTGTGCTTCTCGGGGCAAGGGTTTTGACTTCTCTGTCATTACATTCTAGTGGTCATGAGAGAAGTTATTTAAGGGCATTAATTTATGGTCAAGATGGTTTGATTTGGTTTTTCTCTTTGATTTGTTATTGGAGCTTCTTCATCTCAGTGGGTACCTGCAAGAAAGCCATCCATGGTCAAGCTGCTCTGAAAAATTTAGATGGACTCCAGTGTACTGACTGTTGTCTCTAATAAAGAAAAATGTGACATTCCATTTCCTGTCTTTCATGGGTATATGTTGGGAAGATGGGTGTCATGTGCTGGCCATTTTTTTCCTTGCTCATAGTGGTGCATAATCCCTATACCAAGCTGTGGTGGTCACTGCAGCACAGGTTTCCCGAGGGAGAGGCTTATAAAAACTGTAGCAAGGGCAGTCTTCCATGTAACACCAGCTTCTCTGCATCTTGGCTTCCCAGGGGAACACCAGCCTTTTAAAGCCACCAGTTGCCTCAGTCCTGCCAAGGTGCCATCCTTGCACCCCTCCAGGGCCAGCTTTTCCACACAGCTCAGCTGTTGCATCACAAGCTTCAGCTGATGCTTAAGTCCCTGATCCTCTTTCAAAGCTGGCTGTTGTGCCAAAACATGGAGCAGTTGAGAGGAACAGGCTTCAGCAGAGCCTGTCTAAAAGCCAGCAAGGCAAAGTGGAAGGCAGCATAGCCAGGATTTTAGGAAGAGTTCTGGGAATCTTGCAGCACCATCTGTAGTGAGATCTGATACCCTAAGGACTTCTATGTGCTTTTGAGAGAAGATTTAAGAGCGGGAGGCTTAGTGGGAAATGTTGACTGGTGACAAGGAAACAGAGGGGACCTTGTTCTAGCAACCTGCCTTGCTGACAAGGGCAGTTGTTTTCATGCTGTGGACCTTGGACCTCTGGGAAGTTGTGAGCTCCTTCTTGGAGGAGGCACTAGTGAATAAGGGAAATGCAGCCTGGGGGACAGGGGTTCAGGATGGCTGGGGAAAGAGCTGCAGAGCAACTTGGTGGAACAGAAACATGGATCTTACCTTGTGGGGAGGGAGAACAAGCTTGCAAAGCAGTGAATGAAGGCCTACAGGACCCTATCACTCTTGCTGCTGCTCTCATTCTCATAGGGCTTTGCATCTGGGGTTTATCATGGTACTTACTCTGATTGCAATATTTCTAAGTGAGTTCGAATGGGATAAAGCCCAAAGTCACCACTAGGACTGGCTCAAAATCAGATCTACCCAAGTGTTACCCAAGGTGGGGCAGGGTACAACCCCATGGGGTTTACCTTCTCCCCTCCAATTTTCAGTTCTTCTGTCTCTTCTTAAACTGACATTCTTCAACAGCTTTATTTTGCTCATCGTTTACTGCTCTTTCCTTGGGAGCATCTATAATGAAACCCTTTCTTTCGTGCTCCTGCTGTGTTTAAATGGCTTTATAGGTCCTGCAGGCCAATTACCAATTAATTTGCAGTCAGTCTGGTGTGGAATGAAACACCTCTTTTGATGGCCCCATGAGCTGCCTTCCCTGTAGCCCTCTGCTTAGTTTTTGATCCCTCGTTATGGTCACAGGTTCTCCCCAGGGTCTCTGAGGTGAAGCAGTTCAGGAAACCGGAAGAAAGAGCTTTGGTCAGGGGTGTTTATAAAAGATCCAGTCCTTAAAGCAGATTAGAAGTGGTTTAAGCATGCCAGGGAAGGTTGTCCTCTCTGAATCCACCACTGCAGTGGGGGGTGAGAGGGTCATGCCTGCCTTACCACGTGCTCCAACACTCTCTTTAGTGGCACCCAGGGGCTGGGGCTTGTCCTCCTGCTTTACCTTTGATTCCTTTATGTAAGGGGGTTTTCTCTATTTAAAAGGAAAACACAGGCACATCTGGTGCCATTCCTAGTCAGTGGATAATCACTTGGGACACCGTTATTTACCTGCCCTGAAACCCCCACCCCCATAGGGGCCAAGTTGTTCCCTTCACACGTCAATGGGACTCACTTGAGCCTAGATAAAGCTGGCTTGGTGCTATTCCTGTCAGCAAGGCTCTGTATTGTGGCTGCACACCTAATGGCATTAGCTTTTCTTAGATGTCTTTTCCTTACACCTCAGCAGCAGCCTCTAGCACAGCACTTCACTGCTTGGAAAAGCAGTATCATGTGTCACTGCCCCAACTTTACCATCCACAAAAGGTGCACCAGACAGAAGTGGTCGGAGCTGGTGGCCCCCGATTTGGCAGCACCCGAGGGAGATACTGCAGAGAACGTGGTGTCTACCCCCATGCTGGCGGCAGCTGGAGGTGGCCCAGGTAATAGCTATGAATTACACCACCTCCTAAACCCACTGCCAGTGAGACTGACGCTATCCCAACGATTGGAAATGGGGTGAAGGAAACACTGACACCAGAACAAAGCGTACCAGATCTGATTACAAAGAGTCTCTAATTGTTTGTGTTCAGTATTGTGACAATGCAGAAGGAAAAGGAGAGTCCTTGGCAGCCTCTTCAGAAGACTTTCTCCAGGGCTGGTTTGAAAGTGAGGAAAGATTATTTTTTTTTCTTTTTGGTGTTTGGGCTGCTTTGAGCCTGTGTTGTACCAGCATGAGTGCAGGATGCAAGTAGATGTATCACTGGGTAGGTGTGTGGACGTATGTACTTAAGGACCAGCTATTATACCTCTCCCTCTTACTTCTTACATCTGCCTTTGTCCCAGCTTTCTCCTCCCCATATCCCACCTACCCTCCCATGCTGAGGTGCATGCAAACAAGGCCAGTTTTACACATCCCTGTTCCCCTGCCCTGGCTAGAAACTGTCCCTCTCCACCGTCTGGTCAGCATTGCAGCCGTCTCGTGCCAACACCTCCCTGTCCCCCGCAGGACACCCGCCTCCCTCCCCACTCTGCTCCTCTGCCACATGGTTGGCCTCCTCGTTGGCTGCCACCACGGTGTTGTCAGTGCTGTGGGCCGGCTGGTGGTTGTCACTGCTGTGCTCCTCGGCTTCCTGCACATCGGACTCTGCTTCCTCGGTGTCACTCCCGCCTCCCGCAGAGGGGTTGTTCTCTGGGGGAGGCTCCTTCTTCTTCCCTCGGTTCAGGCAGCAGTAGCTGGCGACAGCCAGGAAGAGAGCAGAGAGCACCACCTCTGAGCCTGCCAGGTAGAAGATCACCTCATAGTTCTTGAGAGCATCGACCAGGCGGCCTGGTGGTTGGAGAGAAAATGAGAGGGTCAGCTTCAGCCCACACACTTCTGCACAGACAGCCCAGCACAGGTAGGCAGAACCTGCATTTGGCTGAGGACCCATTCCTCAATGGAAGAGCAAGAAGCCTGAATGTCTAAAAATCACCCTGGGCAAGAGCCGCACTGTACCACCAGGGAAAGTTCCATAAGAGTGCAGGGATGGTGTTTTCCCATGTTTGAAGAAGCTTAATTAATTGTGACACACTGATGTTATGGTCTCACACCATGGTGGGCCACCTTCTTCTTGCCAAGGTGAGCAAAGCCTCTCATGACTTGGCTGGTCAAGTCTCAGAAAAGAAAATTTGGGAGGCATTGCTATTTCTTAAGCTATTACATCTGGAAAACATTTTGAAGGAAAGAAGAAACTTCTCTTGGGCAGAGAAATCCCTTTGATTGGCCCACACCTGATGATTTCTCTGCCAAAGAAATGTTCTCAGTGTATCTTTTGAATGCACTGGGGCTGGCAACGGAGGGAGGGTTCCCAGTCTTTGGTGCTGGGGAGCCTCAGCAGCTGCCCTACTGCAGTCAGGATGTGGCCATGGGACTGCAGACTTCACCCCAATCCTGCGTGCTCCTGACTGTGCATGTGATCCCCAGTCCCTGCTGCACTACAGTGCATGACCTGAAACCAGCCCCAGGACATGCTGAGGTGCCTCCTGGAGCAGTCATGGGAGGCACGTGGCGAATCCTCCCCCCAGGTGAATGTGCCCCTCTTCACCCAAGCCAGATGGCGAGTGAGGAGCCTGTGTGCACAAGGGGGCATGTGTGTGTGTGTGTGCATGTGTGTGTGTGTGTGTGCATGTGTGTGTGTGTGTGTGTGTGCATGTGTGTGTGTGTGTGTGCAGCTTATCCTGTGCCAAACTCCCTCAGCCCCACCAGGAAGCAGCTCAGGAGGATTACACCAAACAAAGCCACTTTGTTCAACCCCCTTCTCCCAGCCGAGCACTGTTCCCCCTGAGTCCTGCTCCCCCCAAGTCCAAGCCATCAGGTTTGTCAGCACAGTCGAGCTTCCTGCACCAGCGGGGTGCTGCAGAAGCAAGGAAGGTGGGAACCACGACCTGGCTGCTCCCAACACCATTCTTCAGTGGCCCTGCACAGTCTGCATCCCAGTGTGTGTGCGCACAGTACCAAGGCACAGCTGAACTGAGGCAGGAGGGCTGAGGGATGTCCCCTGTCACCACTCACTGGTGTGCCTTGCTCCTTTGAGCAAGGCACTGTTAAATCCTCCTCTCCCCCTATGATCTCTCTACAGATGACTCCAAGACACTTATTTCTAGACCCTCCCTGGCCTGGGACTGCCAACTGCCCCATGGCTTATAAGGTAAGACATGAATTATTGCTAGCATTAACAGGGTCTTCTCTTGGCCACCAATTTTACCTGAGAGCTGGGTGGAGTTACTGAGGGCAGGTTTTGCTCATAACTGGTGATATGTGCTGGGATATAGACCTTTCACACTGAGGTCTTCATTGATGGGCTTTAGCCCACGTGTAACAGCTGAAGGAAGGGAGTGTGGGAAGCAATGGAGTAGTTCCTGCCTAGGGATTTGCCCATGGTCTTGTCCCTGACTCTTCCCCACAAATCACACATGCAGGAAACTGCACTTCATTTGGAAATAAGCCTTTGGCATGATTTGGCTTTCTTAGACCTAATCAGACACTTAACATTAACCTATACCAACCTTTTGGGTGAAGGGTCTCTCCATTCAACAGTTTATGGGCAGTTTGTGGGGCACAGACCTTACCAGGAACTGTGACCTAGACTAGACAGGCTGAAAAGCTGTGGGTGTTTAATCCTCTTAAAAAAAAGTAACAGCAAATGCCTCAGGGGGCTGTACAAACTGTTTTGACTTGACTGACACCAAAACACCTGTGTTGTGGGATTGGGGCCATCACAAATTGACGCTGCTATTTACAGTACCAACTAAAAGGCCGTAGACACACGGCAAACTTGAAAGACCCCTGCTTTGTCCTGATGAAAACTCTCAAAGGTTTGCCTGCAGCATGTGCCTGACCCTGTCCATAACGTGATTTTA